TCTGTGACTGAGACTGCGTACGCGTGCGTCGATCACACTCAGTGGGTGTGGGCAGATCACACTTTCCTGTTATACTGAGATTATCTAGATTGCTCGTTTATGGCTGCAACAGCTATTAGAATAAAACCACAAAAAAAGGAAACATTTGATTTATCATTCTAATATCACGCAGAGTTGATTCCACGTAATTTTGTACTCGCTTAGATTCTAATAAGTGATGTATCCTATGTACACTATATGTGTTTTAAATAAGCGAGCAGTTATATGCATGTTTTGTTGTTATCCTATTTAGAAAACTGGTTGGAAAAAAATTACAATTTAGTCAACTCGTTTAAAGAATTTCTGAGCAAATAATTGAACAGTTTTGGTTCAGTAGTTTCTGAGAAGGGCTATGGTAAGTTTAAACAACGATTTAGTCGAGTTTATTAAAAAAAACCTACCCCTTCTTATATTTTACTAGCTTGGTTTACATATATTTTTTATATGTAATAGAAAAATATTTAACCAAAGCGCTAGAATAGTTAATTTAGGTTTTTAAACAGTCATAATTAACTCCCTATATATTTTCTGCTGATAAAGCTTATGATAATTTTGTATTTTGGATATTCTAATACTAGTATTAGTGAAAAATAACCAAATCTGGAATAAAATCCTTATTTGTAAATTGTCTGTAACTACAGGAAATTGGAGTTTGTGGATTTACTTGATTTATTTCAAAGTATATTAGTACAATACTCCATTTTAGAAATGCTATTCAATGTTTGGTTACTTTCGTCTAAAATTTTACTTAACGATGTAGGTAGATAGGTACTTCAACATTATATTAAACACACGCATACAACATGCAACTATCGGTTATAACGGTGACGACTATGTTTAAAAATGAAACATTTCTGTGGAGAGCATTGAGCTCGGGTTGTTCGAGGTTTTCTTTACCAATTAGCACTCGGCCGGCGGACCGTAACTGGGTGAACATTGGAATGCTGACTAGCTTTGCTCCTCCGAAGGTAACACTGCGTTCAATAATAATATAGACTGAGCTTTATGTAAAAATCTCAGATGAAGCATCGTGCTTATATTTTCTCATACATAATAATGATTATCATAAGGAGAATATAATAATTTGTCAAAAATACACGCGAAAAAAGTTGTTTTATTATTTTTTAAGAACTAGAACCTAACTTAGACGATATGCTCGTATTCCTAGTAGTATAAGTATATCGAATTCCTAGTAGTATTAGATAGTATTCCTACACATTTATTTAGACGATTATACAAAAAAACTACTTAATTTGTTGTGACGTTTTTGAACCTAGTGTAGTTTCTATGGGAGTAGCACAAATTTGGTTTAGGCAGTCCCGAAATTTTGATGTCAAAGATGCCCGTCGCTCTGGTCGTCCCGTTACAGATAAAATGGATTTTACGACGTAGCTGAAGAACCTCACGAACTCACTGAAAGAAACTTAATGAGCCGTGTACTCATTTGTGATTCTATATTACGGCGTAATGAAACCGAACCATTTTTGAAGAAGCTGATAACTGGTGATGAAAATTGGATCACGTACGTCAAGAACGTGCGAAAAAGGTCGTGGTCAAAGGTCGGTTAGGCGAATCCCTGGTTAACTTGCAACAAGTTCATGCTGTGTGTATGTTGGGATTGGAAGGGCATTATTTATTATGAGCTGTTACGGGCAGGTAGGACTAGCCACTCTGAATTTTACTACAAACAACTGATGAGATTAAAGCAAAAAGTTGAGAGAAAGCGGTCAGAATTAATCAATAGAAGGGGTATGTTTTTCATCATGATAACGCTAGACCTCTTACATATTTTGCCTCTCAGCAAAAATTAAGTGATTTTGGCTAGGAGGTGTTAATGCAGCCGTCATGTAGTTTTGACCTTGCACCTTCAGATTTCCACTTGTTTCGATTTCTTTAGAATTCTTTAGGCAGTGTCAGGTTAATATCACGCGAGGATTGCCAAAACTACTTCTCGCGGTTTTTTGACCAAAAGCCCCAAAATTTCTATAGTAATGGGATCGGACAAAGAATCAGAAGTTATCGGACAAAGTGGTATTTACATACTTTTGTTAAATCTAAATTAACTTTATTAAAAACATATAGAATTTTCATATAAGAGCGGGGGAAACTTTTGCCCTGACCTATTAAGACAAATTATTTGATTTATAAAAATATTACAACAATAATTCATGCAAATAAGTCATAATACGTCGATGTCTTATTCACGCAACTGAGTTTTGTATATAATTATGAAGATGAAGAAGAAGACGTATGTAATAGAAAATATTAAGAACGCTTAAAACTTAAAATTGCATTATAATAAAAAGGTGGTAATAAATATATTACAGTAAAGTTTCAATGAAGGAGGATTAGTGTATGTATTATATGCAAAGGATATGATATTCAAGATATAATATCCTTTGCAGTTCTGTTGTTACAACACAAATTTCACAAAAGATTGAGGAAATATATTTATAAAAAGTTAGTGTTCGTGAAATATTTTAGTTTTTAAATTATTTGTTCGCGATTGAAATGTTAAATGTCTAAAATTATACAACCACTACCCTAAATTAGGGCGTAGTTGAAATAAAATTCATTATCGGATCAGTGTTTCCGAAGATTATTACTACAAACAAACAAAGTCAGACACTTTATGTCTTTAGTATAGATAGCTAGGAACGCTTCTTATAAATATTTAGTGAACGTGTACAATATCATAGGTAGACAAAATCATTTGAAAATTTTGAAGTTTTTAATCGACTCCAAAATTAAAAAGGTGGACAGTCTGTTTTCTATGGATTTATATTATTTATATACGACCATCAATTTCATTCACCAAATTTTTTAAAATATTTTTTTATTTGAAAGCTTATCGACCTGAGGTGGTCCCGTATTAATCATATATTGTAATCAAATTGGCAGTTTTGTTTTAATAACAAAATAACTGACATTCTGCCAAATTACACATATATATTATATTTATTTCGAAGGAAACAAAAGATTCGTATTGTTTTTTCCTGTGATTTTTTACCCGACTTAAAAATCGAAAACGAGAAGGTATATGTCCGACAGTGATGTATGTTTTTTTATGTGTACGTTCATCGAATTTCCCCCGAAATGTTGACGTATTTTTAAAATTATAATTCTTTTATTCGACAGCTTATGAGCCCGATGTGATCCCAAATAAATTTTGTCGGAATCGGATTGGGTGTTGTTTTGTAACAAAACAAAATATAGTTTTTACTAAATATCATCAAAATATATAGATGGCATGTTTTATCAACGAAATAACCAACGATATTCTATATTCAAAGGGTATGTATATTTTTATGTAAGTAGGTGTGTTCACCGATTTCTTCGTGAATTGTGAATCAATTTCTATCAAACTAACTGTTTTCTCGCGACGTAAAGTCCTTATATTACGATGTAGGCAAAGCGGGTTCCACAATACCATTACTCGTGACAATATAGAAAAGTCCAACTGGGATTGAAACTGGAACCTCAAAGAATGTAATACCTTGATACCGGTGTTCGCCGCACTTTGCGGAGTGCGGTGAGCAGATATTACATAGGTAAGTGTATTTTTCACGTTTTTGAAGTCGATTTTATTTTTTCAATAATTGTTATGCTATGTTAATGATTTATGAATGTGTTTTAGTTTCTGGTAAACTATCTGTCTTACCATTTTAACATAAGTCAAACCTTTTTTTTGATAACGCAGGATAAATCTTAAGGCTCAAATCAGGGCTCTCCAACCACTCCTCCCTGAAAAGGGCAGGTTAGTGTGACTGGCCTACTTGATAAAACCCGCTGCGTTTTGCCTCACTCGGATGGATGAGTCCGTTATCCTGCAAGGAAGGCCCGGACAATATAAGTGAAATTTATCTAATTTTTATAAAATGTAATACTCTTCATGCGCAGGAGTTTGACTCACGTTTTTTTGGTTTTTTTATTCTACGAGTATGTAAAAAGTAAATTATTAAAAAAATATTGTATTGTGTTCAACGACATATTTTGTAACTGAATAGCAAAGCTGAATTTCGAATTAAATTTTTTTTACCGAGTTGACCAATTACACTGATTATTTTATAAAAAAAATAGTATTCTGAGTTGGTCCAATTTCAATTTGAAAGAAAAAGAACATAAAACAGTCACTTTTTCTGTCATGGATGTCTTTGATCACAAAACTCGTAGGTGATGACCGTTATTTAAGTGCAAAGTAGAGTATAATCACATATAATAACACAGGGCGCTAAAATATATAGATAATGTGTTTTGTATAATGTATTTTGTTTGAAATTCGAGGTTCGATTTCCGGTCGGGTCAATGTAAAATATGAACTTTTCTATATTGTCTCGGGTCTGGAAGTTGTGGTACTTTCGTTGTCTCAGATAATTTATAATACGGCGGCTTTAGCTACTCATCTTAGAAATCTGAGCAATGTACATATGTGATGTTGTATAAAAAATAAATTATCTACTCATTCCATTGTTGCAATAGACACAACAATGATACTCTTGCTATTCCAAAATGCTTATTATTGAGTACAATAATAAGAATTCTTTAGGCAATAGTAAATTCCGCTAATAGATAAAGGGGTATGGTATGTTATTTATAATTTATCCTAATTAACAATGGTAAAAAAATATTCCAACGAAAAATTGAGAAGATCGTGAGTTTTTAAAAAGTAAACGCCTTGTAGTTGCGCAGGATTGTCCAAGCCGAGTTCTGATGTAGCCGCCAATCAGATTATCTGTCAATACGTTGTAGGTGGAGCTTAGTGTAACACACGAGTTATAGTAAAATGATCTCTTTCTCACCGGCTTTAGAGTCGAAAATTGTTAACAAATGTGCTTTTCAAAGGAGAGCCGTGTTAGAACATTTTAAGTTCTCCCACTTACTCTTATGGTACATTTTTATGAAATTGTATTTGAGGTAGTAAGATTGATATTTTGTATACCTGTTAATGAAGTGTAGTGGTCGAGTTTGCGGTAGTTGGTCATACTGTTGGCACGTCAGCTCTGATTTGTAATATGTGACAAGAGCCTCTGAATTCAAGTTGTTTCATGATTAGATTATTTTTGAAATAGTAAATGCTTTTTGAAATAGATACTTTTTGTTTGATACCAGTGGTCTGTGAAGTGAACTGAGACGTTTTTTTATTACAAGTAATTAATTATATGTGATAGTTAAAGTGGATAAAATTGTGGATAAAGTTAATTCCGAAGATAGGTAAGCTTTTTCAATTTCTCAATAAATATCTATTATCTTAGTTCTCATTAATTCTTAAAGATGTCAAGGGTACTTAAGTGTGAGAGTTAATATTTTTCTATAGTTTAGTTTTAGGTAAATATTAAGATATTCTCACTAACTTATCGGAACATAGAAGAAACTGTTTCAAATATTACTTCAATTTGATGGTAGAAATTTCATAAATGACTAATTTTGTATTTACGGTTAGCTCGATCGCAATATAAAAGTTTATTATTGATATAAATGAGAATGTGTGTATTAGAAAGCAAAATAAAATTTGTTTTATTTAAATATTTAATAAATTAAAGTCCAATATCATTTATAAGTCAAAAAACTACACCATTATTCATAAATCTATGGGTGAAAACTGCGTGATGAATGAGCTTTTTTCCCTTTTTTATTTCATATACACAGAGTCCTCATTTTGCAAACTGACGTCATAAGAGCTAATTACTTTTTAGTAATAGTAATAAAATAGGTAATACACAATCAATTTGAAAGGCAACGGTAAACAGTAGTGACCTTGGACATATTTACAAATTATGCGTAGAGTTGACGTTTTGGTTCAATAAAGAAGTATAAAATTTGGTGATTTATTATTAACAAAAATACGTTCACTAGTTCATGTATCACTTTTTTATTGTGTTTAAGTGTATTATTTCATTGTGTGTAAGTCTATTATTTAGGTATTATGTTATATAGGTTCTATTATTTATGTTTTCCTGCGTATTCGCCCCCGTAAATTAAAGCCTATCCGCCAGCCTTCCGTGTATGATTTAGCTTCTCGAAGGTGAAAGGATTTATAAATTAGATCCAGTAGTTTCAGAGCTTATTTAATAAAATAAAGTCTTTCCTCTTTATAATATTAGTATAGTACCTACGAGGGTCACACTGAAAGTTTTTAGGCCAGTAAGAAAATAAGGTGGTGAAAAAATTATTTATATTTCGAATTAGAAACTATTTGGGAATCAGTAGATGTGTAAAGAATATACAAATTGGTGGAAAATGAAAATGATGCCTGAGCAAAAAGAAAAAAAATCTGTTCAGATAATAGAAAAGTTTTAGATACGTATTTTTTTCCCTTAAATTTAAAAAGAAATGGCTTAGATTAAAGAGGGGGAGCTCGCTGCGTCACAACTATATACAAAGGTATGACGTCATGTGACATTTCAACTCAATGTATCGTCGTAATCTACTGACTACACAAAAAAAAAATCTTCTCGACGATAAGACAAACAAAAATAAGTCATCTGTAGATTGACAAATCTGCAATTGATAAACCAGTTGTCTTAGAAAATATTTGACAGCAAGCTCTCAAAAGCTCTCCCTTCCTCCTCAGGACCACACGTGCTGGTTTGCGTTGCCACCAACTAACTGTGGCAGCGATTCCTTCGCGTACAAAGAAATTTGGCGACTCATTTCTTTGTCGTACTACCAAAAAATGGAATTGTCTCCCGGCCCATGTATTCCCTCCTTCCTATGACATGGGGTCCTTCAAGCGGGGCGTGAAGAAGCACCTTGCAGGTCGGCAGGGTGAGGTTGGCTAGTGCAGTACCTACGTACTGTTTTCACTAGCTGTCCTCACGTTTGGACTACGCCTCCGCTTACCATCAGGTGGAGCGCAGTCATTTGCCCTCCTATACATAAAAAAAAAGAAAAAAAAAAAAAAAAAACATCCTGCACCATTACGGACTTCACACTTTTAATACCTACCTTTAATCGGATCTCTAATCCAACCTTGCACTTGTTTTATTTATTTACAAAAGGAAAATTAAACTCGGGGAAACTTATTTTATGAACTCTGAAGATGCCATGGAAAAGGTGTGGAAGAAGAATTAATCTAGTGCTTCAGTCAATGGTTCCGTCGCATACGAAGGTGTTTAGAAAGGAATGGACATTATTTCAAAATGCAATAAAAACTTTTTTAACAGGATCTTTTGTTCTTCACTTTTTGTTACATATTAAAGTATAGAGCGCTTACGGCGTGATATTTGACTGGCACCTAACAAATATTACATAATATATCTACATGATTCCCATACGAGTCTTGTATGCGATGTCGCAGAAGGTAGTCATCACCAATCTGTTGATGTCTCTACTGCTGGAGTACATGTCATTCCTAAGGGTAAAATAGAATCAAATCGAATATACATAATTGGCTCTACATGACCTACCACGCAGGCCATTTGGTGAGTATTAACGACTGCAGTTGGGGAACCAAGGCTTAATGTGCCTGGCGGAGCACGGAGGTAAACAAGATAGTAAATTTTTAACATCCATCCTATGGCCCTAGCGAAGCTTACTTTATTTCCGCATTAGAGACATAACGCGCTAACCATTACGCTATCAAGATCCCTAGAAGAATGGAGTACCTATGAAGATAATAATGACAAAATTAAAAAAAATAGATAGCAGAATTACAAGATCGGATATGTCTCAACTCTTATCTTCAATTACAATACAGTTACTACACCAAATTCATTATGAATAATACAACAAAGTTAATATGGGTTGAATGGAATAGCGAAATAAATTTTCTGCCAATAAAAGAATGTAAAACAAACTTTTAACAGCGAGTTTTTAATATCCTGTAACAATGTTTTGACCGCTTTTGTTTGTCATAAATAATGTTATTTTTAAATAAATATATTGGCAATCTGTAAAGGCGATTTCACGGTTCTGAATCAGTATTTCCTGGTGAAAACACAAGGTGTAATATACACACTTTTAAAGTTCACGAAAATGGGAAATCAAAAAATACAATAGCTAACTGAGAATATAATATACTCCCAAACAAAATGCATAATTTACTAGGTCTACTATTCACGAAGATATTAAGGAACGTAAAGATATTGGTATTATACAAAAAACTTACATATCTCGGTTATTCAATCGATAATAACCATTTTTGAAGTGCGTTAAAATAAAATTTAGAGAGATACATTGTTTAAGAATTTTAGGGACATAAGAAAGATGCGTGTAGCCTATATTATGCTACCACGTTGCCTGGTAGGGTAAGATAGTACAGTATACTAATTTGTAGTCCCTATTTAAATATAGTGCTGTCGGCATACTTTAGTTAATTGGAAAATGGTAGTTCTCTTTTTATAACCCCTTATTTTACTTGCAATGTATGTTCGTCAAACCTTGCAACCGGATTTTAAAGCAATTAATCTCTACCATCTCGAGTCCTATCTCAGAGTGCCAGGGACATAGTGGAATTTTTAAGCAATTCTCATTTAAAAAAAAATTCACGTATGATGTAGCTTCCCGTAGGTGTGGTAATTTTTAAAAGTAGTTTTGGAGTCTATACGATGAATCAAACAAGAAATCTTGCGTGTTTATAATATGATGACAATAGACGGTTGGCTAAGTTACACATTAGTAAACGGTCTATGATAGCGATACAGTAATTTTTTTTACCGTGGCATGGATATTAATCGAAAGTATTTCCGGAAAAAATGAGAAAATATGACATACTGATTTGATTGCGTACAAAGACTTTTGGTATCGAATTTATCAAATACAAAAAAAAACTTGTATTTAAATGCACTAAAAAGTAGAAAATAAGCTTTAAATAAAGCGTTTGAATTATTTTTCTCAAATCCAGTTTTATGATAAACGAACAATCTTCATTGATTGTGGTGAAAGAAATGGATATTATATTTTATTACTAAGAAAATCAAAATAACAATAATCCTAAAAAAATACTCTTGATTAAAAAATGCTTAAAAAAATAATATGTGGTACCTGGGCCTGGTGGACTTTTTAAGCATTTTTTAATTGGAATATTTTTCAGTGTAGCACAATGAATACAAAATTGATCAAATAAAAATAATAATCCTAAGTGAGATATCATAGGAGACAACTTTTAAATTGATAGACAAATCCGCGACGCAACGGGTTTCTATCTAAGTAGTTTATTGATTGATCATGGTCTTGATTTTATATAAATTACTAGCTTTTGCCCGCGACTTCGTCCGCGTGGTATAATAACTTTGAGCAGCATTTTTAACGATAAATTATTCATTATATCGTGTAAAATACCTGAAATAAATTTTCATCCCCTATTTTATCCCTTTGGAGGAAGAATTGATCAAAATCCTTTCTTAGGGGATGCCTTAATTATAGTAGCTTTATTCATGCAAAGTCTCAGCCCGATCGGTTTAAAATTGATAAAGTTTCATACAAACTTTCATCCCCTATTTTATCCCCTTGGGGGTGGAATTGATCTAAATCCTTTCTAAGCGGATGCCTAAGTCATAACATCTACCTGCGTGCCAAATCTCAGCCCGATCCGTCCAGTAGTTTGGGCTGTGCGTTGATAGATTACTATGTCAGTCAGGCGCCTTTGAGTTATATATATTTAGATTTATTGATGAGTTTTGGTTTAAGTGGGTATTCACAAAGCTAGTACTCCTTTACTTTACAAAAAACGCGTTATATGAATATTTAGATACATATTTCAGTAATATTTAAAGTTAATGAAAATCAGTAATATTTGTAATGTAGAGATCTTTCTCAAGAACTTCTCATAATTATAGTCTTTCTTATAAGGAAAATGGTAAAATACGCGAGTCACTATGTAATCCAGCAATTTACGTTCTCCATAGAATCTCCATATAATACAAATATTTCGGAATATGATTTCCGTGGTTATTAATATTGCTGAAATGCTACCAGACGTCAATGACATATTCGGAATATATCTATTAAATAAGCATAGGTACGGCTTATTGTGCTGCTGTTCTTATGAAGAGTGCAATAACTTGGTTTCAAAAGTATTGAGCTAATCGCAATTAAAGATAAAAAAAAAATTGTGTGTCATCATCTAGCCTAAGGGCATAGTTTGTCCACTGCACACACCATCGAACTCGATCTTAGCCTACTCTTATTTTGTTTTTGCCATCCACCTTGTGAAGATCGTATTCCTACCTAGTCTGAAGGCGTCTCACGCTGCGTTTGCCGATCCAGAGTCT